ACACCAAGATGATGGGGGTTTGAGCACACGATGCACAAGGAGATGCTAAGAGGACTTGCTTCTTTAAGAGGAGAAGGCTTAGAAGGGGGAACTTAGTGCTGTCTTCACCTACTTAATGGAAGAATATAGAGAATATAGGGCCAGACTTTTCTTATAGCTGTGCTGAGGACAAAAAGCAGTGGATACAAGCAACAAGATAAATTCCTATTAAATATTAGGAAAATAATTCATAATGGGGTAGTTGAACGTGGGAAGAGTTTGCCCAGAGGGGTTACAGATATCAGTCCTTGGAGGTAGGCACAACTTTGCCAGCCAAGACCTTAAGAAACTTTCCCTAAGATTGTCCTAGCTTCTTGTAGAGGTCCTTTTAGTCTAAGAATTGCCAGCCGCTTACATGCATCTTTCTCATGGGATTCATGAATAGTGTCTCCAAAAGAGATGTTCTAGCAACTGTACAAGTGCATGGTGGCTTCTTGTTGAACATCTTTTTAAACTACTCATTCATTTTACCTGTCTCTGTGAAGCTCTAGTCTATTTGATATCTTTATATAAATAATGTACATGCTTAACAGAAGCAAATACAAAGTAACAGGTGTGTTTTGTACCTGTAGATTATAGGTGTTATTAGCAGATGATATAAAATTGCTAAGGAGACTAGCTGTCCAAACTACCTCTGCAAAAAGGATGCTATCCTTATGAAAAATAAAAAAGCATAATGTTATTTATGATAATGGAACTGTATTTTTGAGATAATTTTTCTTTCCCTGGTACCTTCAGAAAACAAAAAAATAGCATGTTGTGTATTGGTTACAAATTTACATTAGTCTAGCAATGGTGATGTGAGAATCCCTAAATTTTCACCACACAGAGGACAGCCAGACAGTAACTTTTGGATCCAAACTGCTCAAATACTGGAACTTGATTTGGTCAAATATGCATGGGCTAGTAATAATAATAATGTTACTAAGCCATAGTGTATTTATATGGGTTGTGAATGTTTACACGTGGTTGATATAAATGTGAAAGCTGATTATGCAATTGACATCTTAAATACTCTGCATTACTTTTCTAAGTGCATAAATTGGTATTAACAGTGTTATCTAACATTTTAAGAATTCTAGACAATACCACTTTAGACATCTACCCCTCTAAGTCCTTGGCAAAAAATTGGAAATATTAACAAAGACATTAGTGTTTAACGAAAAATGTCTGTGTAGAGCTCTGGGAGAGCAACTCTTCTTTTAGAAATCAGTTGGAAAGAAGGGTAAGTGCTAACATGGTTGGAGACTATTATGTTAAGAGAAAGAAAATATTCTGAAAATTGTGTTTCACCATTTGCTGATCCACAAGTGGAGTTTCTAGTTCATGCTAAGTATCACCGTTGTAGATACAATATGGAAATAGCTGCCACTTTTAATGTTTAGTTTGGGTTTGCTTTCTCCTAACAGAAAACTATAAGATAAACATAATTGATAGCAAGAAGACACAGATAGTATTGGTGACTGTTTTTTTTGTTGTTGCTTATTTTTTTTGATGAGGTAAATTTGGGGTATGTAAGTAAATAGTGACAGGCTTAACAACGTGTCATAAACAACTTCAGAAATGAAGAAAAACATCAGTGAGAAAACAATCATAAAGTAAATTTCCTTTTTTTCAAGTGAAGGGTTTGAATTTACATTTTTGAGCTGCCAAATGTTTTTTTTTTATTTTTCTTTATTGAAATGGCAGTAGAAATAATTGTATCACTGGTGGTTTAGATTTATTTAATGCAGAAGGAATACAAATGTTTATGCTGAGTTTAAAGTCTTCATTGCATCTTTTTGAGGGACAATGGTCTCATCTAATTACTGCAGATTGTTAGGATGCTTTAAGTCATTCTGAAAACATGTCTTAACATAACTGCATGTGAATCTATTTTCAAAGCTAGTTTGAAAATAAGAATCTCTCTTAGATACCTTAGATAGAGGTCTGTGTGTAGGAGCGAATAGCTTTCTTTTCAGCACAATTGAAAATCCATAAGAAAAGATACAATTTAATACCTAAGATGTGACTGCTTGTATTCTAACCAGTGTTTTTTTGACAATACATAGGTCCTATTCCTACTACATTGAGGTGTCCATGGATGAATTGGACTGGATTCGGGTTATCGATCACTCTAAATACCTCTGTCGGTCCTGGCAGAACCTGTATTTTCCTGCCCGTGTCTGCAGGTTAGTTTATCAGTATGATGTTCCATGGCTATCATTAAATAATGTAGACACCAGAATATGTTGCTGGATTTTGCTACTGCATTATATATTTCTGATAATGTATGATATACACAACTTTCATGGACTGTCTTATAAAAAAAATAAATCAATTTGTCTATCTTGGTGGATGCTTTTTTAATATAAATATAATTAATAAATTGCAAACATCCTGTTTTGATAGCTCTGATGCTTCCATCTCTAACTATGTATCTCTTTCTCTTTTCTTTATTTTTTTTCCTTTCTTTCTGATTTCTTTTTTTTTGAGTCATACTCACTTTTCCTCTTGCAGCTGATGGGTTTTTTCACTCGGTAGTAAACATTACTCCTTGACTGCCAAAATGTTTAAAAGGTGTTTACATACTTGCTATATGACTTGGAAATGAATTTTTA